TGAAAAACTGCATTATTAAAGATAAGAGGGAGTAAGCTGTAAGTATGCTTTGTGATACACTCCGTATACTGTAAATTCTACACTAGGTGTTAATGTATTATAATAATATTTTTCAAAATTTTTAATCAAGCTTTCCACTCTATTCAACATCAATACATCAACTTAGATATGTATTATGTTGTTTCATTACAATAAGTGTTTTTAAAGTGCCAGTTGGCCAGCTGTACATTTAAAACTATGACACCACAACAGGAAACTTCGCAAATTAAATATTGTAATTTACTCATATATTAGCCATGGGTTTGAAGTTTTAAATATAAAATAAATGTCATATATTATGACGTTTATTATTTGCAAGTCTTCTGTAGTGAATAGCAATGCTATTAAAGTATTATTATTTAGTAGTTTAAAACGTGTTTTGAAAAATATACATGAATAAGCATGTTGTTAATTAAAAAAACAGGTTTTAATTATTTAAAGAGAAATTACCTCTTATATAAGTTTAAATTATAACCATATAATTTAAGCCATATAAAGGTAGTTATTTAACAATAAAACATGGGACAAGTAAATGAGTTGAGTAAGTATAGGTATAGCATACGGCGTTTACATTTTTTCTAGCATAATAATTACTGTTTATTATAACAAATATTTTTCCAATAACCAACAGTTATTTTACCAACATTTATTTGCCAAACTTTACTAACTATTCTCGTCCCTACCGTATATTAAAATGTGTACTTATAATTTATAAAGGAACTCATACAAAATAGCTAGTGCCTTTAGAAATTAGAATGAAAGGCTTAACCGATCTAAAAAATACTTAGCTATAGTTGGTAGAGATTTTCTGGTGACACAAAAAAAGTTAATTAATATAGGTACCTATAGTTATCATATGTAGCACTGTATCATAATATATCAAATATCAATTATACATACTTACACGTCATATTCTGTGAACAATTTTTTTTATAAAAAAAAGAATTTTAACATTGTAATTAATGTAAAAATCTTTTTTTGCTTTCTTTGAAAAAAAAACGGATACGCTAAAATATTTGAATGTGGTTGTGCTACTCGGCCCCACTGCGCCCCTCCACCCTACAGCAGTCGAGCACTGGGTATATCTATTATCTACTTCCTAAAAGTCTGCTTACTACAATAGAAACAATTGAAATTTAATATAATATTGAAGTTTTGGTGAAAAGAGGTACTTTAAAAATAATAAGTACCTAATAATAGTAATAACCAACAATATTTCTATACATAATTCGTTTGTTGTAATTTTATCAACTTATCAAAACATTATTAATAATAATAATGACGCAATATAACATTACATACAATTTTAAGTGTTGTAACCATGATAATTAAAATTTGATAACTATAAGTACAATGAAACATGTATAAAATTAGAAATTACGAAAAAAATTAAATCATAATAACTGCATCAAATAAGTTAGTTTAGATAATATATTCAAAACGGAAATAGCTATACGTTACTTAAAAAACATTCATAAAATAATTTTTTTATTAGAGAATCATAGAATGAAATTATTTTGGCATGGCTGAATTGTAAAATAATATTTCGAGACTTTTATTTTAATAGCATTCTATTCTATTGTTACAATATGCCTGTGACAGTATGGCAACAATTTTATTCTGAATATTGTAGTAATGTAGTTCAAAATAATTGTTTAAGTATTTAAAATTTTAGGTATTCATATTTTAATTGTTTAATCAGTTTTATCTATATATTAGATGAGTATAAATTATTATTGTACATCAATTATTATAATTTAAATTTAACTATTAATTTTTAATGAATGATATTGCGTTTTATGTTTGGAAAAAATTATTAAATTTTTAATTGAAAGTAAAAAAGACGTACCATGTACCTACTATTACTACTTATCCATAAATATGATATAAAATATAGAAAAAAAACATATTTGTAAACCACACAATTGTTTGACGTTGTAACATAGAATAATATCTATACAGTTATACAAAAAAACAAAGACTAGTCTCAATAAAAATAATGTAGGTACCTATCAATTAGCAGACGTGTAGTGCGATATAGTTTAGAAAAATTATTATATTAAAGTGTAAAAGAAATAATTCTTATCAACATACATATTATACATAACATAAATAAGCAGATAAAACAATTGAATTTACTTAACAGTTACCATTTTTAAGTCTTGAGTAAATAAAATGAGACATCCGTATAAGTTTCACAATACTCATTGCTAGATTAAATCAATCGGTATAAAAATAAATTTATTAGACGGTAACCCGAAAATACACAAACTGATAATAATTTACCCGACAGACAAGACGTGTCACTAATTTATCATTTTACCTTAAAATAGTTCATTTCCAACACCCTTTTACAAATTTAAACCACATGTATACAAGTAGTTTACTACTCAAAATTAATAGTTCTTGTATAGTTATTACTAAAAACAAATGGTTTACTACTAAGTAGTTAGTAGTCAGCTAGTAGTAAAATACTCATAACTAGTAGTTTATTATTCATAACTAGTAGTAAACTATTCATAACTAGTAACTCAGTATTTATTCCTAGTAGTAAACTATCAAATTGTTAGTAGTAAGTTTATGGTTATTACTTAGGAAACTAGTTACTACTCAAAGCTAGTAGTGAACTAGGTACTAATTTTTAATATTACCATGTATACCAAAATAGTATATCAAATACCTATAGATACTGTAGATACTAGATACTCTAGAGTCTAGTCATAATATAAATCGATCAATATAGCTCTCATTTTATCAGGAGAAAAACTAAGAAATTATATTAATTTTTTCCCATGTATATAAATCAGTGTGGTGCTCAAATAATAATAATAGTGCAATGAAATTATTTTTTTGATAATCCTCAAGTACACAAAAATCAATTTTATTACCTGGTGTAATACATATATAACCTATTATAATTAAATTGATAATGAACTTTTAGCTTTAAACTTCAAATTTGATTTTACTTTTTAAGGTACCTACCTACTATATAGCTGTGTGTACTATAATGTACTATGAAGCTATATAGCTGTTTTTAAAATATTAAAATTAATATAAATTTAATAGGAAATTAATGACAATCTATATATACTATTATGTATAAACTCTAGCTTGTACAATTTGTTTAATCTAATTTTTCTATTAGTTTAAATTATTATATTTTATAAAATATGTTTTAAAATAAGCAACTGTGTTTTTTTTTCAACTAATTTATTTTAATGACTCTTAAAATTTCAAAACCAAACCATCAGGTTATATCATCTTATTGCTACAAAATATTATTATACTTATAATTTATTATGAAAGATATTGTTTATATATATTAATATCCGTAATTTAAATCTTAATCTTTTTATTTTCTATTTATTTGGAAACTAAATGTTCAAATCAAATCATAAAAAATGTTTAATTATTATTTATTAATCAGCTATTTACACTTATATGGGTTGTGTTCGGTTCATATTGTGTTCATGCAAACAAGTCATGCCATGTAAATAGGTATATATTTATTGTTTCAAATATAACATCAACAATTTTATATTGAAATATAAAGCATAAAATTTAATACACTCATAAATAAAATGAATTAAAAAAAAAATACAAATAGAAAAAAAAAATATTCATAATTAAATAAAACTTATACTTACCTACTAAAATATATAATTATAATCCAAATATAATTAAATATATATATATATACTAGCTGACCCGACAGACGTTGTCCCGCATGATATTTCAACCAATTAGGATATTAAATAAAGTATGAAATCCTTCTTTTAATTTTAATCCCTCTCAAACTTGTTTACAATAGGTTTTATGTATACATTGTTATTTTACGATATTCTTACACACTTACTAACAATTTCTTCTGGATAAAAACATATTATATTATTACTCTCTTCAGTGATGGTAGCTAAATTTTTGGTCATTGTATCATAGATATTAGAATGATGATTATTATTACTAATTGGAGTTAGTTCGTTTCCAAGTAATATGTTTTTTAGAATACTTTCATTTTCATTAGATGGAACCAATATTGATAAAAAAAATAGTTATATCCACAAATTTTCCATTTTGAAGGTGGAGACAACTGTTATCTCTTTTTTCAGCTGTTTATATGTTGTTGTATGAATAAGCATTCCATTAGTTATAAATCTATTGTAAGTGTTAATTTTAATTAAACCATTTTCTATTAGTTGCATCCCAGTTTTGTTTTCTATGCATTTTTTCTGACGTATTGTCTCTGTTAGTGACATTATTACTTCTGGTATTCCAAATGTTGTAAGTTTTAAATCTAGACAAGTCGTATTTGATACATGGCTATATCCATTTAATCAAGTTAATAAATTTAAAATTCGAGGGTTAATAGATTTTTGATTAGATTTTGCAACTTGCATATTTGAAATCATTGTATTCATTGTAGTTTTAAATTGGTAAGTCTTTAAAATTTGTTGTGGAACACATTGTGTACCACGGACAAAGTTTCCTATAACTCCATTGTAATGTTTGTTAGGAAACGCAGACTAAGCCCAGAGTGATCCCCATCTTCTTACATGACTTGAAAGATGTAGCAGTAGGTGAACGTTGAATTTCATGAAATTCTCACCATATAGATTTGGTATTTGAAAAACAAACTTTTTTAAACAATCCTCAGAGTTGTTAATTTCTTCAGCAGTACAGTTATCTTTTAACAAGCCATAAATTTCTGATATAAAAAGACTCCAATGTTGATAATAAGATTGATGCAATAGGCGTATTAAACATACTGATGAATAATACAATAAAAACGTTTGCCACTCAGACGCCATATATTGTTTTCGATCATTTATACTTAGGCGTTCTAGTTATTTCTGAAGGGGGCTTAATATTCAAGATACCATTTATTTTTAAATGAAGAAGAGTCAAATCATGCTTACCATACTTACATACACACCGCATATAATCAGGAACTAAACTATCGATTATATGAAAGGTAGGTATCTAATTGTAATACAACTGATGTTCCTTTGACTCCATTTATATTTAACTTCTAATTGATCGATAGAATTGCAATCAGCAAAATGTTGTTCTAGTGTTCTTTTTGGTCCAACATCACCTAAATACACCCGAAAAGATCCTCGTCCTACATCTCGGATAACCCCTTCATTGAGACAGTATGAACAACCAAATTTTCCATTGAATTGTTTAGTTCTTTGAATCATCGGTCTGGCTACAGAGTCTACAGATGAAATAAGTATATATATTTTGAAATTAGTTGGACTATTCTGACCTAGAAGCTGAATGTCTATTCCTTCACTATGAAGCTTGCACAATTCTTGGACGAATGGTGATAAAATTGTATTCATATCAGGTTTTGAAGGTGAAAACCAGAGTCCAACAAGAATTATATTTTCTCTTTGTTCACGATATGGTAATTCATTAAGCATCAGTTGAATTGGCCATACAGACATTTTTAACGAATTAAAAACTTGAATACAATCTTTATTCCATTGAATGGTCAAATATTTACAATTGTTACTGTCATTTTTCTCTTTCAGTGTTTTGTAAAATGTGCCATTTCTTATATCATTTACATTACTTTCCCAGTTCAACTTACTACCAGTATTAGATTCCAGTATTTTTTTTAATTTAATGCCTAACGGTATTGTTAGAAAATAACATGAAGTGTCTTTTAAATATTTGATAATGTTTTCAAAATAGCATTGAGTGCATTTTATCACATCTATGGTGTCCTCATTTGAAACATTTGACTAATTTCAAGTGTGTTTGCTTAATTTAAACTTTATTCATATTGGTTTTAATTCAGCCACAAGAAGATGTAGTCTATTCATCAGATGATGAAAATCTGTCATTTCCACTCTCAAAGTTATCAAAAGATGATCTGATTATCAAAGTGAAAATGCTAGAAGTTCAGAATAAAGATTTAACGTCCACTATTGCTAAACAAAGAGTGATGATAGATATTTCTGAATGTAAGTTGATTTATACTGATGTACCTATTATATCATAAAATGTTGTTATAGTCACATATGTTAAACATATACTTTAACATAATACAATACAACATAACATAACATAATATTATATTATAATTGGTTTCACTGCTACATATTTATTATTACTTTATTTCTGTATAGAATTTCCAAGAATACAAGAACTTTCAAATTTAGTTTTAAAAAATTTGGAAAGTATTACAGAAAAACAAAAAATTTCAATTTCCGCTCCTCCTTTAAAAGCTTGAACAAATATTTCTTCAATATCTATGGTTTCAAAGGTAACAAGTAAAAATGTAGTTTAGGACGTTTCCAAGGTTGATAATGTGGATTTCTTTAACCAAATGCAACCGGAATTACTTTCAAATCAACCCTACAATATATTAGATGTGTGATAACAATATGTTTAAGATATATACGTATTATGTATATTTTACGTTTAATTAAGATTAAATGTATTTATAGTTATTTTTCATTGTTAATTTATTTCAAGGATTTTAATGGTATTCAGAAAACTATTGTTATTGAAAAGGACACAGTTGCTGAAGTGAGCAAAGACATTGTTGATAAACCAAATCAGTCAACAATTAATAAAATAGCAAACCCCAATATGGAAATTGTAAAAAAAGTTGCTTCTAGTGCCATGGACCAATCTGAGGTAGGTATTTGGTATACTAAGATTATACCTACTAATATTTGTATGTTCCTATTACTATAGTAAAAAGTTATATAATATTTTGATATATTATAATCTTCGTTTATTTTATATTTATAACAATATGTATACCTACTCCTAAATTATTACATATATTCTAATATTATTTTTGTTATATTTATTTCTGTATTTATTTTCAGGTGTCTTCAGAAAATTGGGTTGAACTTTGGCCTAAATCAGGAATAGAAGTTAACTCATACGCTTTATCATCAATTAACCATAAATGCCCTTCTAAAATGATATCGGATCTTATGATTATTTTATTCACCGACGATGAACTACGCAATGGATCAGTTACTGGCAAAAAAAGTAATTTCATAAAAAGTGGAGAACTAAAAAAACAAAACAGCTTGGTGTCCACAAAGTAAAGGCAATAAAAGGTATCAATGTTTAAATTTTTTTAATGAACAGATAAATTATACAGATTTGAAATAATCAATTATCCTGTTATACATATATTATACTTAATTATATTTCAGATTTTACACAAGATATTTTCAGAGATGTTAATGATGAAATTATGAACAAAGCTATAAGAACAACACTAAATAATTTTTGAAAGAAACCAAAAGCCCTAGACTTAAATGCTGATTCAGCTACCATCGCTTACAAATACCATTTAAATGTATAATTAATTATAATTTATATTCTATATGTGTGTGTGTGTGTGTGTGTGTGTGTGTGTGTGTGTGTGTGTGTGTGTGTGTGTGTGTGTGTGTGTCAAACGTTAACACTCCTTTCAATTAGTATATATATTTATGGAAATAATATAATTTTTAATTTTAATACATTTTTAAGCATTTAGCTGTCTTCTTCCCTACTTTTTCTACTAACCTTTAGTAGTAAACTACTGACAATTTTCTAGTATTTAACTATTGACTGCTAGTAGTAAACTACTGATAATTTTCTAGTAGTAAACTACTAACCACGTTTTGTAGTTAACTATTAAAATTTCTTAGTAGTTTGTCCAAAAAGACTACTAAGTATTTTGAGTATTTTTTTTTTTAATAGTTTTTAGTAGTTTTTTTCCTAAGGGTAGTAATGTGTGATTATAATTTATAAATGTATGATTTCATAATACATTTTCCCTCCTTTAGTGTAGGCAACATGTTTTGCACTCATATTGTAGTGTTTTAGTGGCACAAAAAACCTTAGTATTCTCTAGTCCGCGCCAAATGGTTCTCGTTAAAGAATTTTTTTTATTGAAAATACGATAATATTTATCGGACTAGCAATCTTAAAGAAAATATTAATGATATACCTTTTAAAATTCTGAGTTGGGTAAGTGAGTGGGTTTCTGACTTCACTGAGTGGGGTATACATTTTATATAATTTCCAGTAGGTATGTTGCCGTGCTAAGAAAAATAGGATACCTAACGTCCTAACTCCATTTTTCGTAAAAATCGATATTTTCTATAGAGATGTAGATTTATGATAAATCAATAACTGATGAAACTATTAAAGATATGCCTAATATTCAGCAAGCCTCTGGATATTAAGAACATTGAAGGACAAACAATTTATTTTATGGCTTACATTCTTTCATAATATTATTCCGCATGTTGATATTTTAATTTCAGCGCATCCTAGACTTTTTAATTTAGAAATAAATACACAACAAATTAGTCAGTTACTCAGTCACATATATCATATCACATAATAGTTTAATATATTACACCAATATTACCAGTGTCAGAGTAATATTCCGTCGTGTTCGACAGACGGCGATTCCCGCTTTTATTTATTATTTCATAATATCACCGTATAACATTTTAAAACAACTTGTATTTTCCACTAGCCATACTCGTAGAAAAATAATACTAAGCGTCTATGTTTTCGACATACCAACATCGAATACAAATATAATAGGTATAATATAGGTACAACGTATAAAAATATTGGATAACAACATATTTTTAAGCCTCGAACAAATATTTATTTGTAATATTATTTGACCGTTTTCCAAATAATAGGTTATTGGTATTAAAAATATTCACATATATTCTGTTCTTAAAATATGAAAATTATTGCCCATTGCCCCCCGTTATACACGGCTCTGTTTGTAAACGAAAACCCGGTAAATCTAAATACTAAGTAAACAATTTGTATAGTGTCACAGGAAAAATATTGGAGTTATCGTGTTTAAGCTTATGTTCATACGTTGGAGAAATAGGGTACCTATTGACGTGACATAAACTTTAGTCACATTTTATTAATTAGATGATGATGATTTAGTATATTATTTTGTAATTTACTAAACTGATATTGTTAAGAATATGGTCTCACGAGGCATGGTCATCACTCATCAGTCATCACTACAATAATTACTAATTAGTAATCACAATATTATAATAATTTAATACATTAATAGGTATATAACTATATAAGTAATTATTTATAATTAGGTAATATTAAATAAATTACTTAAAAAAATAAAATATAGCTACTTATGAATAGGTACATAAAAATATGTTATAGGCTATATAACAAGATATTTCCAAAAAAGTCTTAATATCACACAAGTTTTGACCAATTTTTTTCATGAGTTCTTTGTTAAGGCTTGATTTACTTTAAGCTATAAAAGGCTTTTAGGCATTATTTTTTATTTCACAACAGTCACATTGACTGAAGTTATTCTGTTTTCGGTTAACACTGCACTACTGCAGTATAATAGGTAACTATAGGTATCTATAAACAAAATCGGAAAAAAAAACTTGAAATATATTATATATATATAAATATTATATATTATAAATATATATATGGAAATAAATTTTGTTATTCAAACTTGAAACATTTCACTTTTACTTAAATAATTATTCCACACACAATGACATTTTCAAAATATTTAGACTACCTACTTTTAAATTATTCTAAGTCCTTACGGTCTTATGGTGTATTAACTTTTATAAATATTATAAGTGAATAACAATAATGTATAATATTATGATATATTTAGTACTTAACATAAATAAATTATTGAATAATAAATATGCTTACAAATTTAGGCTAATAACAGTTTATTTTCCGTAATTTCGATTAGAATAGTCATTCGTTCAATGATTTAACATAATATCATTGATTTGAAATTAACACATCCATAGTCACTTACTCAATGTCGAGGTTGAGGTATACGTACTCAAAACTTACTATACATCACTTCCTACGATTTTTATTTCTAAGAAATGTACAATCAATACCTATGTCCAGAATAAATATATAAGATGGGATATGAATATGGTACATTACAAAATTACATAATATATTATAAATAGTGGAGAAACATTTACTTTGAAGAGAGAAGAAGCTTACAGATTGATTCCTGATAAAATACTATCCGGTATAGTGTACTCGTGATTATTAAGGGGTTTAGCTTAGGCAATTTCTTGAACAAGTGAATATTTTACTATCGTTGGTACATTATTAGTATTGGTTTTATTATTATAGAAAAGTCCTGCCGCTGTGGAGGTAAAGTGTTGCCGGTCACAATTTGCCGCCACCGACCAGAAAGCGTTTTTTCACGTCGCGTGATTTTGTACCTAATTTATTACAACGCCGCGTTATTCAAGCAGCGCGTGAAAGCATCACGCCGACGAGCCTTTTATCTCTTTAATGAGTTCTGTTTGACAGAGCGTTTGGTCATGACGTCATGTTAAGCGTGTGGTTAACAAAGACAGGAAATAACCGCTTTCAAATTTCAATCACTGTATCTACATTATGTCATTATATATATTATGCGAAT